TGATCATAACGGGCTCCAATGGCCAAGAAGGCAGCAGAAAGTAGAGAGGAGCCCCAATCACCTGACGCATACGAGTCAGCCAGACATACAAGTAAACAAGCCGAACACTCCATCGATTAACAAATATGCAACGGACAGAATTCCGCAGAAAAGTAAGCTACCTGACAAATCCACAAGTCTGAAACCCATTAACTAATACTATATCTGTAACAAGATCTTTACCGTCGGTAAAATGACGAACCACTATAGTACTACGTAGTAGAGGTGCACTAGGATCGAATAGATACTGGATCCATCCACACCATTTGACCCCATAAGAATTCTGAGACAAGCCGTTTAATATCCACTCCCCACCGGTACTACTTAATACCTTATCCCCATTCGTTCAACGTACAGCTTACCTGAAGTGGTATAGATAAGTGCTTACCTTACTCTAAATGGTATGGATAACGGTCTTTCATAACTAAGCGGTGCGAGGTGTAACAAGTAGGGCCTTGAATCCTTTCGGTTGTGTTGTCTGTCTGTTCGAACTCGGATCCTTCCTGCAGGTATCTTTGCCGCCACTTTCTTTTTCCACCGTCTGGCCAAGAAATTAGACGAAGGTACGAATTGAATCAATTGCATGCCACGACTCTAGTAGTTCCAGCCAAGTGGTCAGAATAAGACCAGTTCAAGTAAGAAGATAGTAAGTAAGCTGACAGCTGACGATCCGATCCGATCAGCTCACCCGGCACACACGACCCCAACCACCCTACAATGTGAGAGAAGAATAAGAATAATCATGACATACGCGCACGCACACAACACTAGTCAGTTTATAGTAATTTTTTCATTCATTATCATTTAGATCATCTATTCTAGGATATTATGGTTATGTTTGGTGATGGTGGTGCGTGTGTGTTTCCACCCCTGTCTCAGACAAGAGTAAAACCCGCTTGCTAGCTAACTAGGCACACGTACCGGTATTAAAAAAATACCCTTGCACAGCCTCGTCCGGTGCCAGGGCAGTGCAACTCAACTCAAACTCATCACACCCTTACCGAAGCCAATACCCCCGTCGAATAGAAAGATACAGGGCCTGTTCCTCACGGACAGATGGCACCGGCTGGTTCGCCTTTCGACTGCCGATACAGGTGTGCACGCCTACTCGTTCGCGTCCGATATCTCCGATGGCCGGTCGCTCCATGGCCACTGGGGCATCGCGCTCGTCCGCTGGTAGGGCACCTGCTCCACCACGGGTGAGATTCATGCTCTGTAAGCCGGGCAGGCGTAGCGACGGGTCGAAATTGATCAGCACGATCGCCTGATGTCCGGTCCCTTCCAGGCCATCCTGATCGACCGAGTACACGAGGGACCGTTCGTCGGCGGCTGCCTGAACGGGGCCACAGCGCTTCGATGGGCAGAGCAGCTGAGTTAATTCCCGCGGGGCGTTGTCGGGAGGCCACAGACGGACCCCGCGTGAGGCGTAGCGTTCTTCGCTGTGCTCAATCGGCTGGCCATCTGCATCGCTGAGTTCGGGACGGAAGAGCAGGCCCGGTTCGCCTTCGTCCCCGTTCTCGTCAATGGGACATTTGCGTTTGCGTGATACCGTGCGCACACGGAGTCGGTCATGCGGGATGAAGCTGCCGGGCGTGTCCGGGGAGGGGTCATTGACCAGATCGACAAACGTCGAAGCGGAGAGGTTGTAGCTGCGGAACTTGGTTTTGGCAAGAATGTAGTCATGTCGTTGGGCCGGTTCAGCACCGTGTGCGTATTCCTGGTGGAAATGTCGGCGGAGACGCTTACGCGGGGGTTCGTAATTGGGTTTGCTGGTGGAGTCGAGGGTTCTGGTGAGAGGTTCGTCAGGGAGGGTGACGGGCGTTGCGTTGGGTGTGGAATCCAAGCCTTGCTGTTTATTCTGAGTGGCTTCGGCTGGGGACGGCAAAGGCTGCATGTAATATGTGCGTGCATTTTCACTCCGACCATCGCGCCATTCCCGGCGGCATTCGAGAATCATCAGTCGCTTGGTTGCCTCATCCTGACGCAGCGTGAGATCTGACCAGGTGTCATTGATCGGGCCTTCACGATGCTGACGACGCCAAGTACGGTTGGGCGTGATGAATCGTTTGGCAGCGTTAGATTTGGGGGGAATGCAAAGCCACACGTAGTACGAAGTCCAATCGACCTCCTCCGCTTCAAAGTCCACGAGTGTCGACACTGCGTAGAGGTGGTCCTGATGAACTTCAAAGCATACGGTCTGACCAATCTCGCTGCCGGCGAAATTTTCCAGCACGGTTGGCTTTTCCGTCAGGTGCTGGCTTATCTTGAGATCCGCACAATGAATCGCCCATTGTGAATAGCCACGATCACCCACTGCGGTGTGCGTCCCATAGTATAGATAGGAGCCATTGTGTCGAACGAATAATCGTCGTGTGTGTTGGAGCCTTGTCAGGAGACGTAGCCGACCACATTTCTTGTTGTTCACTTTGCGGCGCATGTCCACTACCAGAAGCCAAGCTTCAGGCCTGTCTACAAACTCCACTGTGAATGCCAGAACCCAGTTACTGTAGTACATGAGGCAGACCTGGAACATATCTGTCTGTGGGTTGCACCCGTGGATGGCCCGGGATAGAACATTGTGGATGTTCAGCACCTGCTCAACTTGGCCGGCACCGTGCACATCTAGGACGCGGATTTCATCATTGTAGATGTAGCTGAGACAGCCTTCACTGTAGATGAAGGAGCTCGCATAAGCCAGAATAGAAGCAGAGTACGGCTGTGCCGTTGCGACTGATTCCTTGATGTCGAATAGGCGCCCAAGAGCTCTGCGATATCCAGTCTTGGCCTGGTCTGCCTCTTGTCCTTCCTTTGTGTGCAGTAAATCATTCTAGAACAGTCAGGACAAACCCCAAATCACAAACACTGCGATGCCACTTACTTGAATCGTTTTACGCGCAATTGATTCATTTTGCACCAAATGATTTAATGCTCGGTTAACGCGGCTAAGATGAATGAGGTCGTGACAGTCGAGGGTAGAGGCCACTTGGTAGAATACATCATAAGGGATGCAGTCCAAATTTCTGACCATTCCAGATGTGACCATGGCGAATGGCAGAGCTGCACACCATATATGGAGAACGGAGAAGGGAAAGGAGGAGGAAGAGGGAAAGGATGCGCGCACTGCCACACCGCACTTATACCATCGACGAGACAATGATATCGGCGAGAATGTAAGAATCGACAGAAATAATGGCGCGGATGAGCCCACGTATGGTTAAACACAATGTCAGTCGATCAGTGAGATGTTAGTGCCCGAACGTGAATGTTGGTACTTGTATTCACTGTTGATCAGAGGCGGCGAGATAGTATACAGAGAGTGTTGGTAGGTAATACAGCGATCCACATTGAGCAAAAAAGAGAAATAAGGTTTAGTGGGACAACACTTTAGACAACAAACAGCCATGCACTGGACACATGGACGCGACTGGATAGGGGAGCTGTTGAACAGCTGCCATGGTTTAACTAGTAGCCTTCATGATGCGGCTCTGTTGTCCCAGAGTAAGCTTTACATGGGATACGCCGGAGGGGCGAAAGAATGGAAGAAAAGTGGGATATTGGGTCCGAGAAGCAATATCATTGGCCTAAGGGACGCGGGAGCATACTGGGAGGCAGGAGAAGGAATGGATCACTCATAAGCCTAGTAGCTATTCCGTGGGAGATAGTCCAAGCGGCACAGTGCGACAATCCGCGAGACAGGCATCAGCAGCGACTCACTTTCAGCTAGCTTGACGAGGAGAGGGGCGGTCAAGCGGTAAACCCAAAACGGGGAGTGATGAGACGATTAGTTTTGGAAATGGGGGAAGGGAGAGCCTCAGAGTGGGAATGAAAGTTCTTTTTCGGCGCGTTAGACTACCAGGGGACAACCTGGGCAAGGCTGCATTCGAGTGAGCCGTGCGACTGACTGACTGACTTACTTGACTGCCACTGTTTAGGCAGTGGCATTTGTTACTGCTACCACCACTACCACCACTACCACCACTACCACTCACTTCCTACTATTACTACTTCTACCAGCTGGTCCCACGCTAATTTTAGCAATGACCGACCGTAGAAACGGCACACCTCTTTTTGCCCCCCTTCGGAGTTGGCAATCGGACCAGATTCTCAAGAGAGGCCAAGCCAGACAGGCAGTAAACAAAAACAAAACAAAAAATAAAAACAAAAAAAAATATTTGGAGGCTCAACTGCCCAGCCGGATGGAGACGCAGCCGTGGCCAAGGCGTAGTAATAATTAAAGGAACCCTGATGATTGAAGGGGATTGGAAGGCGAAGGAAGTTACGCAAGGGAGGCGGCGGGCTGGAAGTGACTGGGGACGACTGGGGACTACTAACGGAGTACTAGCTGTGTACTACTACTTACTAGACTAACTGGTTTTGGGTAAAATGCCATCATCCCATCGGACCTGCGCGGCTGCCATCATTCGCAGCCTCAAAAGCCTCCATCTCAAGTCACCTGCGGAGCCGCGTGCCTCCCATCTCCCGATCGCCCAACCCGGTCACGGAATTCCCTTCTTCGGTGGGTTAGGAATCTCAACACGAAACCTTGAGCTAAATTAGTCTGCAAAGAGGAGGCTGAAATATGAAGGCTGAAATGAAAACCTCCCCCCCCCCTCTCAAATCAAATGGCAAAGACCCAACGGTGGCGAGTTGCAACGCTTTGCGGCTGAATCGGTTTATTAACTGATGCCTCAGGCTGGTAACGACCGTGAGGCTGCGGTGATATCTAATCATTCTCTCAAACTAGTGCGGCCCCTTCCTTCCATTACCCCGTCGGCAACCACCGGTGGGTATATCGCGCATAGGGGCCATTGGTCATCGTGGTCGGGTGATAACCGTATTTCGGAGCTACGTCAGGGTCATCCTGCATTTCCGTACGAAGATCCTTCACTCATCAGCAAACTCCTGATCCTCCTCCAATCCCACTTTGCGATGATCAGAGCGTCAATTGTCTCTCCAATGGCCGTTGTCATACTGGGAGCAGGCTCCCGGTGCTATTCTGGTGATAAGGCCGGGGCATCCCGTGGCATGCATCAACCCCGCTTGCACTGCCTCGAATCTGCGTAACAGGCCCGGATAGCCTGAAACAGGTACCGAGCACCCTCAAGGGAGAACGCACGGAGCCCTGAGCTGCACGTTTGGACCACATCAAACAAGCAGGGAATGATGGTGTTCTGGACCCTTGATGGGTAAGCACTTGTGGTCGAGATGATGCGGCAGCACTTGCTTGCTTGCTAACAGCCTTGCCGATTGCCCCAAACGTGCGACAACGCCTGGTCCGTGGCATGTTGTGCTGCCAATAGGATATATGCCGGTCAAGATAAGCACTTGCCATGTTTCTTTGTTTTCTCTGTGACTGCGGGGGTGATTGTGATCTATACATTGCTGCCGTCATCATGGACGATCGCTGCGGCTTATTCCGCAAAGCACAATCTCACGATGCTCGCTGATCGCAAGACTTGACTTGGAGGGGCCGAGGGTGCGCATATCGGCCGGCCAAGGGATGGCACAGTGCATGCGGACCTCATGGATCCTGGATCCATGGAAGTCCGGGCGAATGAGGTGAGCATTGCTGCTGCTTGCTCCGTTTGATGACTGTTGTTGTTGCTGTAAAGGGCGCACGCCATGCTGATTGTGGTCAAGCGCCAAGATGCGGTCACGAGAGGCAAGGCTAGCCGATGATCAAGGTGCGGAGTCAAGGTCAGTTAGGCTGAGAGAGAGCAACAGTCAGCGTGTCGATGAGTTGTAGGCCGACCAGGTTATTTAAAGGCTCCGTAGGGGATAGTTTTCCTTGGTCCGATAGTACTGACGTCGGGTTAAGACACCATTTGCCTTGGCGATAGAATTCATTTGGCGGGGCTCGACCTCATGTATCGCTGTTAGGTTTACACACCTAGTGCTCTGTTGAATGCATGATGGCTGAATTGCTTCGACACGGCTAACAGAGCTCCTGGCTCATATTGCTGGGAAAGAGAGCATGCCCCAAGAGACAAGCAGAAGAATAAAAGGGACGCATGTGAGCAGTTCAAAGGTACTCAAGGTTGTGCGGTGCCAAGCTGACTGTACTCTACCCGTGGTGAGGATTGCGTAAACTGGCGACACCAGGATGCCAGGGATATGCAGACTTGACGAGTGTCATGTCCGGATGACAGCATCCTCTGGCGTCAGGTGACACCGCCAGAGCATAACTGTGGTGCAGAGATGTATAAAACCATGCTTGTCCAACCACCACAACTCACCGATTAGGATGATCCTGCAGAACTAACTGAAAGACCGACCGAAAGAATCGGTAGTAGTGCAGCCATAGCAGTTGAAGATGATGATGATGACGATGCAAAGATACTTAGTTACTGACTACTTAGTACTCTGCATATCTACTTCACACTAATGCCCCGCGCCACTCCAGTGCCCCAATTTTCGCTCGAATGGATTGGTCGCGTTTGCCCAGGTGACCCCAGATCTTCAACGCCCGGCCAAGTTTGCACAGCACATTTATTGATCGCCCTACCCGCTTGCAAACACTACATAGCCTGGGGGGGGGGGGCAGTGCAGACCTATCAGCAGCGCATGTAGGGAGACACCGCCCAGCATGGCCAGCATTGGCGGGCAAACTTGCTGGGCGACATTTCAAGGGGATTGGCTGGTGCCTAAAAGAGGGCTGCAGCGAACATTCCGGAAAGTTGCCCCGAATGGACAAGCGGGGAGGACCTGGAGGCGGTGGTTCCATGGAAGACGATGAGCTGTGACCGCAGATTCGTCCTGGCGGGTTCCTTATCGGGCCCAGGGCAACGTAAGAGGGCCCATATGATTACTAGGTTTTAGTATTTCTGCCTTCAGTCACGTTAAATTTGTGAGGGATCGGCAACGAAACCGACCAGGTGGTTGGTCAGGTGAAACGACCTCAAAAAGATGAAGAAGATGAGGAGAGTGTGGTGACTGTGTGTGCGTGCATCGAAACATCCAGAATGGAGGCTAAGTGCCTTCTTTCATCTCGAGAGCCTCCTGGATATTGTAAGCAGCAGATTACGAGGACTCAAGAAGGGGGGCATAAGGAGATGCCGATAAAGCCGAACCCCTCGAATGCCACGACTCCCACAGCCATTTCCAACCTTTCTTTCTGCCCTACGCCTCGTGCACGACCCACACAGCCATCACCGAGCCAATCACTACTCGACCCCGGCAGTGGAGAACGGGCCATCAGCCAGCCCTGTGACGGGCCAGGAAATCCAATTCATCCTGCTTTAAATCCCACCCGTTCACCGTTTTTCTCCCCTTCGCTCCCCTTTCCTTTTCTTTTCTTTTCTTGCAATAGAGTCATCCGGGATCCTCGCGTGCTCTTCATATTTCCAGACTAGTCCAGGATTCTGCCCCAAGTTCTTCAGCGTACACCCGGTGGACTGGTTCTCGATAGATCCCCCACTGTTTCCCAACCGAATCTCTGTATCTCCGCACAAACACACAGACCACCACTTCCCCTCGTCGCTTACTCTGATACCACGCTCGGTCTTCGCTGAAGTTATATTTGATTGCTATTGCGACTCCCCCGCTCACGGCACACTTTCCCTCGCCCGTCCGTTTCATCTCCCACGCCGTAATTGATGTACTACCACCACTCCCACCAGGGTTGGTCTGGTGACTACCCTCGGCAACAATCGTGGGGACAACCCCCGCCATCATCCTATCCTTACCCGTAAGCTTTTCAGGAGCACTATGCGCGAATTACCTCCTAACCGGCCTCTCCAGATACTCATCCAACGCGCAATACCAACCTCCCCCAGGCCCGCCTCCGACTTCTCATTACTCACCGCCCCCCGGCCCCCCGCCGTCTCACTACTATCCTCCTCCTGGTAGTTACCCGTCTCCGGCACCTTCCCCTTACTACGGCCAGCACCATACCCCTACGCCGCCCCCTCAGTCGTCCTCACCTCATCAACGGTCTTATCACAGTAAGAGAGCTCTTCCTTAACAATATGCGACTCACCCCATATTAACTTCATGTAGACCACTCGCCGTCATGGGGTCAGAACCTCCCTCCCCGCCCGCCTCAGGATTCGCAGCACTTTGGCAGGGGCGCTCCATCCAATTACCGCTTCCAGTATTCCAACTGTACCGGTCGGCGTAAAGCCCTCCTAATCGGTATCAATTACATCGGGCAGCCGAACCAGCTGCGCGGGTGTATCAACGATGTTACCAACATGTCGACGTTTTTGAACCAGAAGTACGGATATCGCAGGGAAGACATGGTCATCCTCACGGATGATCAGAAGAACCCGATGAGTATACCGAACAAGGCCAACATCCTGAGGGCTATGCAATGGCTGGTGAAGGACGCGCAGCCCAACGACTCTCTATTTATCCACTTTTCGGGACACGGTGGTCGTACACCCGATCTTGATGGTGACGAGGAAGATGGTACGATGCACCCAAACAACTCCAGAAGACTGTAACTGACATCTCAGGCTACGATGATGTTATCTACCCGCTCGACTACCGCACCGCAGGACATATCGTGGACGATGACATGCACGCCATCATGTAAGTCACCCTTTGTGATCTATTTCCTTGTCGATACTGATGGTTCAGGGTTCGTCCACTACGCCCCGGTGTCCGTCTAACCGCCATTTTCGACTCTTGCCACTCTGGAACCGCTCTCGATCTCCCCTATGTCTATTCCACGCAAGGTATTCTGAAGGAACCCAACCTGGCCAAGGAAGCAGCGATGGACCTATTCAGTGCCATCAACTCCTACGGAAAAGGCGATCTCAGCAGTGTCGCGCAAACTGCTATCGGCTTTTTCAAGAAGGCCGCCAATGGTGACACCGCGCGCCAACGGACCGTCATGACAAAGACCTCGCCCGCCGATGTGGTCATGTTCTCCGGCTCCAAGGACACCCAAACCTCGTAAGTAGCCCTACCTATCCTATTCGATTCTAGCTCACCTACTTACCATTTATCTACAGTGCGGACACATTCCAAGACGGTGAAGCCCGGGGAGCCCTGAGCTGGGCATTCATTAAGACCTTGCAGCAACGACCCAACCAAAGCTACCTGCAATTGTTGAACTCGATTCGCAATGAACTGGAGGGGAAGTATTCCCAGAAGCCGCAGCTGAGCTGCAGTCATCCATTAGGTAGGTGCAATGCATCACTAGTTCCTCCGAGGACGGACATTGACTAACTGATTGCCCGGTAGATACCAATTTGCTTTTTGTGATGTGAGATGATCACGCAACACGATGCATAGCGAGAGATGATTTTTGGTTCATATTTTACATGTGCATATATAATTCCCAAACTATGGAGTTTCGGAATTTTTCATTATTATCATGACAGTACTGAATGAACGAGGTATTACGTATTTACTGTACACAATGAAACCACGGGGATTAAATAACTCCGAACACTATTGATGCGATAAAGTTACTGTGCTCCTTACCTGTCTGAAGTTCAAACACTTCAGCTACGCCACCAACACATACCAAGCCACATTCTCAGACTCAGAAATAGTTCCTTGGCGGGTTATGATTGATGGCTGCCACTCATAGAGATATACGAAGACCATCTACATAATCATTGTATTACACTCTTCATCTCTCCAATAATATACCAGCAATGAACAAACATCTATTCACATACCAATCACCCCCATGTCCATCAAATCACAACCCTAATAAATAATCCCCACCAAACCTCAGATCACATACACACACGTACATATCAAGTTTGTATATTTAAATGTCAATATTCCCCATACCCCAACTAATAATTGAATAAAAGTCAATAATATTACCTAAGAGAAATGAATAGATCGTGACTAAATTATCGATCTAGGTACCATAAACCCCTTTGGGGGGGGGGGGTTGAGGGGGGAATCGGCACGCCTTGCTTGAGATCTGTCATGTCTGGGGTGCAAATATCTGAGTAAGCGGGTATAAAGTACTCCGCAGTTAGGAGATTAATCTGATAGGTTATATTTGGGGTCTGTGTTGGTAGCAATACTTGCTTATTTACTAAAAGAGGGGAGGGGGGTTCTTTGTACTATTAGTAGTTGTTGGGTTGGGGAATGTGCTGAAGTAGTGGTGGAATATCATACTACGTTGTTTATTTGTATGTTGAAGTGGTAGTGTGGTGTGATGTGTATCAGAGATACAATGTGGTACTATATTCTACTATAGACTTTACAATATATATCATACTATACTATGTTATAGGTGTAATGAACCAAACTGAACTTGTGTCTATAGTAAGCGACGAAGAAATACTGTAAGCGTTTAATGATTAGCTACTAAAATCAA